AATCTGCTGACCTGAATTTTGTCTCGAGCGGTATCTACGAAGTGTACTCAAAGTGTTCATCGAATCACGGATGAGCTGACGAGGTGCTGACGATCAGTGCTCTGAAGAATCTACGAGGACCGAGAGTCTTCAACTTGCCAGGTTTGACAATCACCCCGAAACGAAAGGAAATATGTTCTAAACTTTCCTGTCACTAACCTTAGACGGAAGACACTAAGGTCAGTAAAGACTTTGAAACCCCTAGCTAACATACATTATCACGTGAACAGAAACATGAGGCAACGAATTATACTTAGTTTAAATCTGATGCAGGCAGTCTGAAGGTAACAGCAACAAGTGCTTAAAATAATGCAGTATGTGCCAAATAAATTATAAACTTCGTATTCCTTTAGTTGCTGCATGGTGCATATTAATTATGTATACAATATTCACATAGGCATTATGAAAATACTATTATGTGCATAAACTACAGACTCTGCAAAGAAGTGTAAAAATCCTTATGACGGGAATAACAAGAAAAATAGCAAGACGAACGAATGAATAACGGCACAAAAAAAAGATTTTGTGATATAATTACACGAGTGAAGAAATCGAAGCGGCAACTGGTTGGACACGCTGCAAAAATCTGTCATCGCTAGACAGAGAAACATTAAGCCGGTTTCAAATAGAAAGCAAACGGCCCGTAAGCCCTGCAGATCTATGGCAGGGTGAGCTGCAGAAATTCACTGGATTATGATGAAATGAAGTCACAGAAACGTAAGTAAATGGAAGAATCTTGAAGAGGCCTTCGTCCAAAAACAGATCGAGGAAGGTTGATAATTATTACAAGATTTCAGTATAGGTACAATAATATTTCATAATTCATAGAGTCACTTTATCAGAATTGGAGATTATGGCCTGGTGTTTTCTCCCATAAGTTGGATACCCTATTCAGGGTTCACTTCATTCATTCCCGCTGTTGTAGAAGATTGTGAACAGCAGAAAATCTATGAAATTCCATAAATAACTAAAGAAATACAGCTCATGGGTGCTGAAAGACTCGAGCTCCAACGGAATTTCCCTAAACAAAGCAGTTTACGACAAGTTACTTCAGAACGTGGTTGTTCAGTTGGCAGAGCGGTGAATTCAAAACCAGTAGGTCCTGAGTTCAAACTCTGGTCAGAATAACTTGCTTGTTTCTGCTTCTGAGGTTGATAAATGAGTAAAACTCCATGGGAAGGAAATAGGAGACTGCACGCCATGCTTGCCACATGGCTACGTATAGACCTTGCCTTTAAAAAATAACGTACTCCTGGCAGATGGAACAGAAACGACGGAGATAAGCTGTACGCCACGAACTTCATGAGAAAAAGGGCGCCAAAATAGCCCAATCATGAAATTGAAGGAAAACCGACATTCCAACCATGACTAACTCTCCTTTTCTTTCTTCCTTTCAGCGTTTTTACCAGTCTAGGCTTCAGTGTAGAAAACTTAAAACCCTATTATCCGCACTCTCCCAGGCAATGCTTCAATTATGACAGCAAAAACGAGATAAGGAACGAAGTTGGCCAGAAATTTGGTGTGAATCATTTATCCTAAATATGAAAGAGGACAATATGCGGTGAAATCACTATTACCCTTATGAGTATAGCCTCACATATTACAATAAATAAGACCTCACTCTATGAACGAACGCTAAGCGATTTATATTTGCACACTGTATTTTATTAGCAGCCATTGATCAAGAATTTGCAAACGTTAAAATTTCTCACACCTGTCATTGCCAGGCGCTACCTTATTCTATCAAGTCCAGTAAACTTCGTGCCATTTACGACCGTGAGTACGTTGATGGGCCGGGGTTCCGCCCCCTACACCCACCCCCTCCAGTTTTCATTCAAGGTCACATTTAGGTCCAATAAAAGTATGCCCAAAGGCATGAGCAGATCTACTAGTCTCACTTGCTGTCACCTTCTCTTTGGCTGACAGTTTTAGAGTTTAGGTCAAGAACGAATAAGTACCGCGAAGACTAGGAAGATTCAGCACCATCTTAATTTGTTTTGGCATGTGATCTCAAAAGAACTTCAGAAGTCACTTTATCAATTGTCCATCCTTGGTTTCAGGATCAAGCTCTCACAGATATCACGAAACCAAAAGTGCGATGTAAAGCAGTACTGCAAAGTGACCTCTTCTCTTGAAGTATGATGCAAATGCTAGCGATCAGTGCTAGAAACACTAAGTCACTTATAACAGATTCTGTTAATTTTAAGCATGCAAGAGAATATTCTCAGGATAACGAAGAATGCGTCTTTCCATAGAAACCGGCTTAGGTATTGTCTGAATCGTGCTAGCATTTCTACACTATGTACAGACCACTGTTTTCTCTAAAGAACATGAACAACAACTGAAATGCACCGACTTCAACACACAGGTTGATGAGGGTTAAAGCTGGTAGGACCGGGATCATTATAGATCGGGAGACACACTCTACGGAAGGAAACGGAAGTGAGGGAATCTGTACCTAAGAAACGTTCAAGCAACTGGCACAGCTTCCCTCAAATGGTGAGATCGCACAATCTGATGGTGTAACTTAAGGAACATGGGGATATAATCCACAACGGAGAGTAGCAATTCCAAGGGTATGTCAGAGTGATTGCTGTGATAAATGTTCAGCTAATATATACATATGTACATATATGTGCATGACATGGCCGACGTACTTGCTCTCAGTTCCTTCTTGTTGGTAGTAAATGGTCATAACACAATTCTATGACAAAGATCACGAGGTGGAGACAAACGGCTTGAGACCGATGAGAAGGTGTCACCGCACAAGGTCGACGCAATGGTCGTTAAGTCGACCGCCTGGCCATATGTCAGTGTGTACAATAAAGTCGGAACCTTACCACGGATCAAATCAGTATCATGATGGATTTTACAAATCAGATTGGCATCACATGAAATAGTGATGAATTCCACAGTATAAGTAGGAAATGTCGGTGGGTATAGATTGTAGTATCTGACTGACTGTGACTTGCGGAATCTACAAATGTTCCGGTCTCACCTGCAGTATCAACGGATTCCGCTGTGCAAGAATATCAATCTGTCCCGTAAAGCATGATTTAGACTGATTCTTCATATTGGCATTTTTGCACAATATATTAATGCGTTGTAATCTGCAATATAGGCAGGTTGATGTGTAGTAGTAAATCTCAGCAAAGGTCCAATGAAACCTACAGTGCTTAACTGATTGTGACCTGTGATGTATTGTGCACACATATGAATCTGATTTATCTGTCTAACTGGGGTTCTGACAGATTCGCAGGTATGACTGGCATCCTTACAGAACACACTACGATCACAATCCGTTAAATATCACGCGTCAGACCGGCGTTGCCACTTATTGTACCAATCAGAATCAGATGGATAATCGAACTCTGAAACTCTGACTGAACTCCTTCAAGATACTACAGGTCAGAACCCGTCAAATGCAGCAAATAAACACTACTGGTCAGAACTGGTTAAATGCTAAAGATCAAGTAGGGTTTCATACAGATCCTACAAGTTTAAGATTATAAAGCTGTAAAAATTACGGTGATCGTTCGGCCCTTCTGACTTACGATAATCCTTTCGACAATTCTGTAGCAGATGCAGCTGTTCGCGATCTTCTAGAATCTTCCGTTGGTTTACGTATTACTACATGCCAGGATGGGTTACATGTTATGAGGATGTCACGCGGAAGATTCACAAAGAGAACTCGCTTGGCAAAGCAACAGGAAGGACTTCTAATAACGCGTTTCCTTGATTATACATAATATCTGGTAGTTTACTCCAGACTATCTGACATTGTCCAGCTGAAACAGTTGCACCAAAGACCCCATACAGAAAATGAATGAAAGGCCGAATCAAGACAGTCAAACGAACGAGAGCGGTCAGATGCAAGTTCCCGTACATTTAAAGCTCAGCAGTCTATCGACATGAGTAAAGAAAAGACTAAGTAAGGCTTATAAGTCCTTAAATAAAATATGACTCGAAACGGGGAATGGTACGGTATGCCAGCACAGTTTCAGTTACTCGGCTTTCTTCCTTGATCCATATCGGAATTTTGAAGTTGGTAGACTCAGAAGCGAGATGTTCTGGAGTTTAACAGCAAGTGAATCACTTGGCTCTCTTCTTTTTGAGGTAGCTAAATGAGTACCATGCCGCTGGAAGGAAACAGGAGACCACGCGCTGTAGTGTTTACTAAGCTGCAAATGTAGCCTTAAAGAAAAGGCCTGTAACGTGATTATGGCTGACGGAAGTAAACCAGAGACCTGGATCGCACAATAACGTCAAAACCTATGCGAGACCTATATTCCAATGATTCTGAACCTTCCTTAGACCTTTGGTTGTTTCATCGAAGGTGGAAAGTAAAGGATATCGTCACCGCTGGTTGCCATCGTCTGAGTGACCTTTACGAAGACACGATAGAGCTACACGAAAGCTGAGCACATAAGACTAATCCAGTGTCAGCACTGGCCATCAGACAAACTTGCACAAACATTTGCCGGCCAGCCGACCGTCCGTCCGTCAAATCGGTGATCAGTTTGCTTTGCGTGTGATTAGCGGTCGAATAAACAGGGCGATCGCGGAGCCGCACTTCTTTTTAGCCGTCTCCAGTGTGCGTAAAATACACATCGAAATGACAGAGGATTTTCGACGTGACACATGACATGACGACGGAAAGCTGGACGAACATCGCACGGCACAGGGCTACAAGGTGGCGGTGGTGACCCAGTGCAGTCGACCCAACGCGACGGACGGTCGAAACTGGTCACAATGCCGCTAATGGGATAAATGGCAGTCATTCGGACGAAGATCATTGAAAACTTCGCGGCGACCGTCGCCTCGCGCCTGTTGTGTGTATGTGCACGGGCATGCATGTGTTTATGGCCGTCGGCGCGTCTTCGGCTTTCCTATAACGGTCAAACGATTAATAGTCGTTTGCATGAACAAAGCGAACCTACTTGAAAAAGTCTGCATTGTTTTTAGACGAGCGCGATAAATAATAACGCCGACGGCCTGGTTCCCGTTATATACGTGTGACTGTGGCGGTGCAGGGACCGGGGAGGTGAGGGTCGCCGAGCAACGGTGCGGCGGAGGTCGAAAACAAACCAAGAGTCGAAGAACAAGCCGGTGGGTGTTGCGTCCACCGCTTGAACTACCGCCATTACGGCCAGAATGACGGCAGACAAAAAAAACTAACCAACAACGCAAAAAAGAACCCAAAATGAGACCAACCTTCATATCCGGCACGATCTGGTCGTCGTTGGCGAACACGTCGTCGTCGTCGTCGGTAGGCAAAGCGTTGACCACACCACCGCTAACGCGATCCATCTGCTTTGCGGCGGTCTTACGAGGTGTTGGTCGGTTGGCAGAGGAATTGTGAGCAAGCGTCGTGCGGTCCCGTAAGGAGCTAGGCGCTACAGGCAGGCTTCGTTCTTACGGTCGTTTGTTCGCTTCGTGGGTCGTAATCGCCCGTTCTGCCCGCGCTACCAGTCCATTCAAACACACATTTCACAGTCGGCTTTATAAACTTCATTCAAACGTGCCACCGAGAGTTTATCAATGACTTTACGCGATTGGCTACGACGATTGGCCCACCGCGCCGCTGTCGCACGCCCGTCGACGCTGATTGGTCAACTCGACGCGCTAAACGCCGCTTAACGACGATCACCGCCGAAAGCGCCGCGCCGCGCCGCTAGTCGCTTGACGACGACGGCCGGTCGTCGAGATTCAAAGAACGCCGATCGAAATGTCAAAAACGTCAAAATGATTGCTTAAACCAGATCTGAGACGGGCCATTGGGCCCGCCACATTTTACGAAAGTGGATCGCCAGGGGGCAGTGACACGGATTCCTCGCGTTCAGAGGTTGCCGGATTAAAAAAAGACCACGTAGTTATGGCCGTTCACGACACGCGCATGAATCGACGGAGGACGACGACTCTCGAGTTGCTGGCGTTTCGCCAAGGCACCTGAGAATCGGTTAGAATCCTTTCGTCATGTAGCCGTACAAGAAATTCTAAAAGTCCTCTCTTGCCGACTCGGCAACAGTGCAGTGGTCGTCCGCGTGCCTTCGATCCGTACGATGCTGCACGAACTGTCGATCATCAATCATACGACCTCGTTTGCCACTTTCAAGTCACTTTCTGTCAAACTAGCACTCGAACTGAAGTTGGCGAAACGCGGCATTTTTGGCTATCCGTCAGCTACAGTATGACCGCTGGCAAAAGTAGACCAGACAGGATTTTGCGATATTGCGTTTGAAACGTAACGCTGCATCCGTTAGGCTTACACGCAATAAGTCTAAAGTTGGGTTTATACTTGAAAATTCGGTGAGACGAACAGCGTGCTTGGCTTCAAACTTTTCAGCTTCATGAAGTAATGAATGTTTTGATTTTTTTTGGCTTACTACGGTTTTTACCTTTTGATTCACTGCCCCCGGCAAGGCTATCAACATTAGAAGTGAAACACTACTACAGACTTGAGCTAGGAATTTAGTACACGCTACTTTACACTGAGGCTGCTGAGTTAGTAGAGCATCGAACTCAAAACCAAGAGGTCCCGGTTTCTTGCCACAATCAGGGTGACTGGTCTTTCTTTTTTTTAAGACTGATATGGGAAAGTTATAAAAGACTACGCTATGCTTATCACATAGCTACTCGAAATTTTCCATTAAAATGAGCCATTTCTGGCTAACGATATGAAAATTGAGATTTTACTTATAGGTATATAGAACAGAGCAATATTTTTAGACTTTTAGACACCTTCCACCTGATTTTGCCAAAAAACAATATTATTGATTAAGTTGGACTCAAAAGAAATGTCCCCTTTAAATTTGTGACACAGTGAAAGTTACACAGCACGGTGCTGTACAATTATACAAAACACCCAGCTCTGTCCCACCTGCGGAATATTGAGCATCTGTGCAGTGCAATGTCTGCCGCGTCTATTTTCTGAATACTGGCGC